GACAACCAGGTATAATGATAAATTGTTCATCCTCTTAGAAATGTATTATCCTCTATAGAGCACAATTACATTTCTAGGGACTTCTTTTTCCTCTCTGATCATTTTGCTTATATACCAATCCTTCCTCAGACCTCCAAACCACAAATTTGGTATATGATTCAAAGTAATGGATAAGCTACATCTTGACTGGCTACCCACTGTCATTAAGGCTTCCCAACAGAAGAGAACAGGAGCTCAGAACAAAGCCATTATTACCATCTAGGGTTTCAATCGCACATTCCCCTGTGAACTTTCATCAGGCTGTGGGTGAGCCAAGAGAAAGAAATATTTTACTTGGAAGGGACACAACCTTTAACCACTTGTCCCTCCATGTCCCTCCAGGATGGCTTCCTGGTATTAGGGAAGAGGGCATGCCAGTGCCTCCCAAGCAGAAGTGGGGCTTCAGCCCCTCTCATCCATCCAGAGCCTAGCAGAAAAGGACAGTGGAGGAACATCCATCCCATTCTGTCTTTATTACCGCACTCTGCCCTCTGGAAGTCCAGCTCCTTACCCAAAGTCCCTTAGTGATGAGGCTTTGTCTTCGGCCCTTGTCTATGATGCTTGTTCTATTTGACTGAGAAGGGCCTGTCTTCTGAATATTGTAATTTTGTTCAATCGACACCTTTCAGTCTTTCTAGTCCTTTGTTCCTCAAAATAATATGCTTTCTTGAGGATCCTGCAGAGGGAAAAGAATTCCTTTGGTTTTTATATGATCTCAGTGAAAACCTCGGCTTTCACAAATAATTAAAAATGAAATTATTCTCTTTTTAAAAGTCCTTTAAAACTCAGCTATCCTTTTTCCCCTAAATAAGATGGGGAGGTAGCTAGCCACATACCAGCTCTCTTGACATGTCTTGGAATCTCTCCACAGGTTTTCAATATAGAGGAATATTTATTGTGAATCACCTATTCTTGGTATCCTGTGAGAATACCACCTTTCCTTCTGGAAGAGAAAGGAAACACTGAGGCCCAAGAGCCAGTCCCAATGCAACCAAACACCATTGATTAGATGGTTGAACTGACATTATTTTTCACCTCATAGTTTCCTCTTCAGTCTCAAAAAATAAAAGTCTCTGCAGTCTTTGAAATAGTCACACTATCTTTCTTTCAACAACTGACTTACTTATAACTAATTGTATGCCCCCTTTTATATGAGTTACTCAGAAACTTGGATACAATTTATGACAATAGAGATAGTCATATGGGTGCAAAGCTTATTCTCAGTTTCATCTTAGTCTTCAGAATAAGACATAGTTTAAATAAAATAGATGGTTAATACCCCGCCCCACCTTTGAGATGTGAGTGGTGTGGTTTGTTCATTCATTACTCAACATCTTCCCTTTTAGGCCACCACGGACTTGTATGGCAACTGCACTCTGAGGCACTCTGGGACATCTGCAGCTGCTCCCGAGGCGGCTGGTGTGTTTGCACTGGCTTTAGAGGCTAAGTATGTGTCAGCTCTGTGCTAGAGACCAGCTCTGCAGGGAGAACATGCGTGTTCTTCTCCACCCACATGCCAGGTGGAGAAAGAAGTGGATGTGAGAGCCTAGGAAGTTAGGCTAATGAACTCTGCTAGACATTTCTAAATGTCTCGTGGGCCTTAACTGATACACACTCACATGCACACATCATAAAACTACATAATTACATAATTGAAATAGCAAAAGGCTCCAAGTTACAATAATACAAATTAGCAACTTATTCATATATGAAAATAGGACAAATATTTATTTCTTCATGAAATCCCCCTTTGTCTTTGGTGTGTTATTCGCCTATTTTGCTCCACTAGTACTCTCAGTCAGTCAGCTAAATGAAGGAAAATCAAATTGCCAAGCTGACTATCTAGCAAGGCAAAGAGGATGCTCCTATTTGAGATGTGTTCATTTATAAAGTAGATCCAATTCTCAAAACTGAGACAAGGCAGATGAAGCTAGCAACTTAGACCAAAATATGGGTTTTATGGGGCTGGAGAGAGGGCTCAGCATTTAAGAACACTGGCTGCTCTTGCAGAAGACCCAGGTTCCGTTCCCACATGTGGCAGCTAACAACTGTCCATAGTTCTAGTTCCAGGGAACCCAGTGCCCTCTTCTGGCCTCCATGAATATTGCACATAGGGGTTCACTTGCATGCACACGAGCAAAACACTCATACAGAAAATAAAAATATATAATTTTTTTAAAGATGAGCTTTATTGGGAAGCACTCTAAGTAACAGGTAAGTGATCATTTCCCATGTTCTAACACCCATGGAGAGGCCACACGTGGCTCCTGCTGGGTGTGCTTTGGCTTTAAGCATCAGTGGCAACACGTGCCCAGCTGCTGCCCTACCTCCCTGAGAAATCAGAAACTGGCCTTACATTTAAGGAATGAGCACTTGGGCTCCAAAAACTTTGACAGTATGCACAGTTTGTTTGGAGAGTTCACAGAATGGATCATCCAGAAACTTGTAAAAAGTTTGATTCAGGTTCCAGAGGCAGGGGAGTTGCCTGTCAGCAACTTCCTCTCATCCCTGTGAGCAGTTACTAGATAATTGCAGCTTTTAACATCAGTCCTTTTTGGCTCTCTCCATATATGATCTGCAAGAGAAGCAAGAGTTGAGCAGGCATGATAGTACATGCCTATATTCCTAGCACTCAGGAGACTGAGGCAGGGGAATATGGAATTCAAGGACAGCCTGACCTACATAAAGAGACCCTCAAAAAATAATACTAGACAAAAGAGGCAAGCGACCCTCCCTATACTGATCTAAACTTTGATTTTTTCCAACAAGTATCAGGTGGAAAACTTAGGACATCAAGATAGCAACACTGTTTAAAACTTGACTCTGAAAGACAGATATCTCTGCCCTCCTAAGCCCGGAAACCAAGACTTCCTCACATATGATGGGCATTATCAGAACCTGAAACCATTCATCTCAGAGCCTAAGCAGATTCTAGCATCTGATTTGGCTTTGCACACTCAGCTCCAAGCACAAATAAGTATCTCCCTTCTGCCTTTCAACCTCAGAGATCAGGCCTTGACTCAGTTCCCTGGGATTTAGGCAAGCAAAATGTCACTTGCACACAGAAATAGACAGCTTAAATAAGATCAGAGCACCCGCTGTGTTCCTGAAGAGATTCATGGTTTTGCACCATGGAAAGTCACCATTATTTCAGCACCCAGGTGTTCAAGTGCATGAATTTTTTAAGAAAGAATTTCCACTTATTTCTCCTTGGCCATAAATGTCACAAGACCACCCTATGCTCCAGGGGGGTCTCAGAGTATAGTTTTATCACTGAGCATATTGCCTTTCTGAATAAAATTGAGGTTTTCTTAATAAAGAAGAAATGAAGGGAAGATACAGGAGAGGCAGCTGCTAGCATCTTTCAGTGTCTACGTGGGCCATTGTCCTGTCCAGATTTCTAATCTCTTATCTGAGCCAAGCAAGGTGGCACACACCTTTAATCCTAGCATTCTAGAGGCAGAGGCAGATAGATCTCTGGGAGTTCAAAGCCAGCCTGATCTTCATGATGAGTTCCAGGCCGGTCAGGGCTACTTAGTAAGACCCTGTCTCGAGAATTTTTTTTGTATTACCTTATCTGCAAAATATTCAAAGTTAGGTCATCCACAAGGTTCAAATGACTTCTTAGAATTTTGCACCTTTTCTTCAGGAATATTTTTTCTATAAAAAATTTTACTTTTCAGTTGAATGTGTGGTGATTTTAAGGCTGAGTGTACCCTAAAATGGGAAACATCTCAACATCTTTTTAAATATTGGCACCAATACTTTAAGTAGGAAACGGTGTCTGTTTTCTTCTAACAGTCTAGCTTGAGTGCCCATAGTGCATAAGGTACTTTATACACATGGTCTATATTTACCCCTCAACAAAACTTCAAGGCCTCTAGGATCCCCATTGCAAAGATAAGAAACTGGGGCTCAGATGTTGAAGTAATTTATTCAAGTTCACATAGTGGGATTTACCCCCTTGGGTGCCTGGGTCAAAGCTGGGACTCTCCTCAGCTTGACTACTGGACCTAGAAAAGGTAATGCCTGCATGGAGTCAGAAACAATCCCATGGATCCCTGAGAAGGTCTGACAGCCCATTTTTTACCATCCCCTGATAACTGAAAGGTGCTGCCAAGGTTGAGAACCACCAGTGTAAATTAACAGTCTCTAATATTAATGTGTGGAGGAAGCATCTGTAAGGAGTCATCTTACATCAAATTCTCAGGCCCACAGCTTCCCAGATGCTGATTCAGAACAGCTGGAAACCTACATTTGTCACTAGTGCCCAGGCGATTCTGATTTGGACTTGAAGACCAAGGTGAAGCCCTCTAACTGGGATAACAGGGGCTAGATTGATGGCTCCTGCCACATCCTGAGCTTCCCTATCATGACAGCTCTCTTTCTCAGTATTGAATTGCCCCTGTCCTCTAGGCTATAGACTCTGTGAAAGCAGGGAATTCCCTGGCATGCCTGGGAATTACCCAGAGGTAGAATGTGGTAGATACTCAATAAACATGTGTGGAACATGTTGTGTGTTGAACCTTTTTACACACACATGACTTTTATCCCAACTGTTATATAGAACATTCCAGAACAAGGAACAACATATGTTAGTTATCCTACAACCTCCAACAACTTTAATACTGCAGATATACCATAATTCTATTATTATTGACTAATTATTGTCTATGAGTCTTGACTGATATCATGGGATTAAACTAAATGAAGGTTTCAGAATAGTATATTACATCAATCCTGAAATTTCTCAGAAGGGGCAATTAGGAGGGACCCAATTTTACTTTATAGACATATGCAAACAACTACTCAAACAATGTTGGGCACTCAGTTACACTCGAGACTGGACTCTATCTATGCTTACTTATCTCAGAAGTAAGAAGGTCTCTGTTTTGGTTCTCTCTTTCCTCCACCCAAGAGGATAACTATGGGGAACATTTGAGGTGTCCCTCCCCAGCCATTGGAGAGCACACATATTTCATAGCAAACACGAAGCCCCCCGTCTGCTAGCCACCCTCGGGTCACACAGACCTCATTATAGGGTTAATAAACCAGAATCCTATTCCAGCTTTTAGCCATAGTCAGCTTCAGGAAGTATGACGCCATTCCCTAGGGTCCTTGGAGACCATATGAGCCAGATATGCTCAGAATCTCTTCCATAAATGTCAATTGGCCTTTGACCTTTCTCCCTCAAAGAAGCAGCTCTGTGCTTCATGAGCACGTGGATTACTGGAGCACAGTGGCTCTGATTCAGAATTTCAGACCAGTGAACTTTGTGTTGAAAGTTTACCACTTGAGTTAAACTGTTCGAAGTCCTTTCAGTTTTTGGCTTCTGAACAGAACGGTAATCACAGGGTGTCCATTTTTCCTGTGACCCTCAGTGAAAAATAAATTCTGCACTCTGGTCCAGCATGCCCACCCCCAAAAGTTTCACAAAAATACTAACATCATTTTATACGCAATGCACTCTGTCTTTCTTTTCTAAGCTGCTTATTTTCTTTATTATTAATGGTTATTATTATTTGATTTTTTTCCTACTAGGTATCCCAAGCTGGTCTCAAACTGCAGGCATCCTCCTACAGCCTCTACCATGCTGGAATTGCTGGAATTCTCAGCCTTGTCTATATATTGGAACACTCTGGGAAATGTTAACCATTTCAAGCAGTAACTTCTCACTCCCAGAGGTCATGATTTAATAGGTCTGGGATCAGGATTAAGTGGGGGATTTCAAATGCCCTCTCCAAAAGATTTAACCTGCAGCCCAGGTAGATTACATGAGCAATAAGTTGATTTCCCAAGAAGTCATGACTTGCAGTTTGAAAAAGTGACACTGAGCAATAATGAACACTACTTTTCAAAGAAAGTAGAGTGGTTTGTCTGGTGAATAAACAGGTATGAAGGGGCTGTTCTGGGCCCTGGGGATGCAAATATATTGAAGGTATTATCTCTGCCCTTGAAGGACTGACAGTTTCATTTTCAGACATGAAGGGCACCATGTAGCCAGAACCCAGATCAAGAAACAGCATACTGTTAGCACCCAGAACCTCCTTTGGGTCCCTCCTTAGTTGTGACTCCCAAAACTATCCACTAGCCCAACCCCCAACAGTGTAAATTAGTTGCTTCTATTTTTATGCTTTAAAAAAATTGAATCATATAGTATGTTCTCTATATTAGTCCATTTTTCCTTACTATAGCAAAATACTTGATGCTAGGGGCTGGAGACATAGCTCAGCAGTTAAGAGCACTGGCTGCTCTTGGAGAAGACCCAGATTTGGTTCTCAGTACCCAAATGGCATCTCACAAGCCATCAGGAACTTGAGTTCCGGGGAATTTGATGCCCTCTACTGGACTCTGAGGGCATTGTATGTATGTGGTACACTTGGATGCAGCCAAAACACTCATTCATACACATAAAATAGAAATAAATGTATATCTTTTTTTGGGTTTTTTTTGAGACATGGTCTCCCTGTAGCTCCAGCCAGCCTGGAACTCTCTATGTAGACCATGTTGGCCTTGTTCTCACAGAGATCTGCCTGCCTCTGCCTCCTGAGTGCTAGGATTAAAAGCATGTACCGCTATGCCCAGCAAAAAGTAAATACATAATTTTATAAAAATACCTGTCACTAAGTACTTAATAAATAAAAGAGGTTTATTTAACTCATGAGTTTGGGAGATGAAAGCCCAAGACCTGGCGTCCCCCTCAGTTTAACCTCTGGTGAGGGACACCGTGGCAGACAGAGTCCTGGTAGGAACACTTGAGAGAGGGAGCAGGGGAGGGATCACACGGCTAAACGGGAAGTCAGAGAATGGAGACAAACTAGGCTTGCTCTTTTCTGACACTCTCTCTCTCTGGAACAACAAAGAAATCCACAAGAATTCTATGAATTTCTCCAGAGGGCAGGGCCCCCAATAACCTATTCCCCTCCCACTTAAGTCCTACCTCTTAAAGGTTGTACCATCATCCAACAATGCCCCACTGAGGACCAAGCTCCCAAAAGATGAACCCTTGGAGAGCCACTCAAACCATATCTAATCCATATCATTCTCTTCCTTCCTGGTTTCTTTGGCTCAGTGTTGTGTTGGTGAGATCTGTCCCTAAAACACTGCAGATATAGCTCAGTTAGTAGAATACTTGTGCAAGTCCTACTTGTGCAAGCATGTGCAAGTCCCCAAGTTTGAACCCCAGCACTACATAAACCATGTGTAGTGCTACATGTCTGTAATCCCAGCACTAGGAAGTGGAGGCAGAAGGATCAAGAGTTCAAGGTCATCCTCATTTACATAGGGAGTTTGAAACCAGTCTGAGTTACAGGAAACTCTGCCTTTAAAAAAAATTGTACATATTATTCAAAACAGATATAATTTATTCATCTCATGGTTGTATAATACCCCACATTCTAAAAGTTACTATGCTGAACATTGGAAAGAACCACAATTTGGAACTATGAGTATTCATGTACATACATCTGCTGAATATGTGTGCGTTTTGTCAGATACTTATCTAGAAATTTATATAATTTCTTGGCTATGGTTCAGGCACATGGACAACCTTAGTAGATAAGGACCAATTAGTTTTCCAGAGCACCTACAATAATTTACATACCTATCAGCAAAGTTTGTGAGGTCCAGTGTCCCACAGCTTTGACAACATGTGGTATTGTCAATCTTTTTCATCTTAGCCACTGCAATCAACATATGTGTTAAAATGGTCTTTTGAAATATATTTTAGGGGTTGGAGAGATGGCCCAGTGGTTAAGAGCACTGGCTGCTTTTGCAGAAGACCTGAGTTTGGTTCCCAGCATCTACATGACAGCTAACCACCATCTATAACTCTAGTTCTAGGGCATCTGATGCCCTCTTCTGACCTCCTTGGGCATTGCATGCACATGGTACATATACATGCATGCAGGTAAAATACTCATACACATAAAATAAATAAAACTTCTTAAAATAAATGCATTTTTCAGTAAGAAAGGCAACAATATTTTTTAAATTAACATGTACAATGGTTCTAGATAGTGCATAGACACTCTTCCTTGAGTTGAGAGTTCATAGATGGTCCAAAATCTCCCAAGGGGGTCTGTGTCCTGAGTGTTATTTACCTTAGTCATGTGTCTCTGCTTTTCTAATCCTTGTCTTTCTCTGTCTGTACTCTCTGCCTCATATCACCAGCCTGGGTCTGACCTGGAGAGACATGCAGCATCTGACTGTGCTCACCTCCAAACGGAACCAGCTTCATGATGAGGTCCATCAGTGGCGACGGAATGGAGTTGGCCTGGAATTTAATCACCTCTTTGGCTATGGAGTCCTTGATGCTGGTGCCATGGTGAAAATGGCTAAAGACTGGAAAACTGTCCCTGAGAGATTCCACTGTGTGGGAGGCTCAGTGCAGGACCCTGAGTAAGTAGAGGCAGTGGTTCTCCTGCTGGGTGTTGGAGGTGCCCTGTTGGTGGTAATCCCAGAGTTCCTCCCCACATCAGGAATCATGCTGGCTTTCATTCAGGACAACCAGCTTCTAGGCAGAGCTACAGAGAAGCACAGCTACAAAGGAGCACAGCTGTAGGGGGACCATTTACTCAGAATACCAATTGTGCAACTCAGAAACACTGCTGTAACTGTTCCCATCATCTGTACCATCGTTTATAAGTGCATGGATCAGTCAATCAGTATAGCAAGCTTACAGATCAGTAAGGGACCTGAGGAATGTCTCAGAGGAACCCTATCCTCTCCCATCATCTTCTTCTAAAGAGCAATCACTATTCTAATCCCATAGGTTATTTTGCCTATTCCATATTTAATATAAATGGAATCTGTACTGTGTTCTCATTTATATCTAGATTATTTTGTTCAGAATCATGTTTGTAAGGTTTGACTACATTTAATGTACATCGTGGCTTATTCTAATTGAAGAGTGTTCCAATGTGTGACTATGATACTTTTCATTCTATTTATGGGACAAGGGAAGGCTTTATTGTGCATGAGGTGGACTGTAATTTGGAGGAGTCTTAGTGAGTTCCCCACACAGAAACCACTGATTGGGTCAAGTGTAGCTACTACCCATCCCACTGCCCCTGCATGACAAAAGAATTGGTCATAAAGGGTACTTCTTCATTTAATTTCTTTCTATCTTCACTGACCCATCAGAACGATGAAAATACAGCTTACTATCATAATTGAGGTGTCACATACATAACACAAAAAGTACAGTATTTATTTGAGGGATGTGGGAGGCAAAGTTGAGACAAGGTTCACCGTGCAGCCCAGGCTGACCTTGAACTCACAACCTTCTTGCCTCAGCCTCCAGAGTGCTGCAATTACAGGTGCATGCCATCACACTGATCTTTTTTGAGTTTTGATGAATATATACAACTGGGTAACTATCACCCAATCAAAATATGGAACGTTCCATCCACCTGGAAAGGTTCTTTGGTTCCCTTCTAATTAGGACACACACCCCACAGACAGCTCTTGTTCTTATTCCTCTTACTGTAGATTGGTTCTGCCGTTCTTGCATTTAACCAGAATCAGATGGCATGGATGCTTCTGTTTCTAATTTCTTCCACTCAGCATCAAACTTGGGAGATGTACCCATGCTGCTCCTTGTGGTAAACAGGTCATTCATTTTCACTGCTGGTTATTCCATTGTGAGGCTACACCATTGTAGCTTCTGTGATTTAAACTGTGTAGAGGTCCACCTCCCTGCCCCTTTCCACCACCCCCTTCCCATGTCTTATTTCTGCTGATCTTCTGAACTTGATGAGATTACACTCAGTAAGAATCCTCCCCTCCATTTAGTTTTGTTCTCAGATGCCCTGTAGCTGTTGTAGTCATTTACCTAGACTGGGTTCAAATCTGAACTTCATCAACTTAAACATCTTTTACCAAGCTGCGACTTCTCTGGCCCTCTATTTTAGCGATTTTCAGTCCTTGGGACCTGACCCTTTTTGACAGTATAAAGTCTACAAACCCATATCTCAATATAATGTTTTTGACCTTATTAGATAAAATGCATAAAATTACAGAGGAAGTCAATTATATTGAAAACACAATCTGTGTTTTAAAAGCAAATCTGTAATAAAGTAACTCATGTTCTTTTTTATGAACACATTACGTAGAAAGCTCTAGTGGTGAGTCTAATGGGCACCATAAGTTCAGAGCAGTTGTGATAAATAAATTACCACTGCAAAGTCAGACATGGTGGCAGATACCTGTGATCCCAGCTGAGGCTGAGGCAGGAGAGGCCAGCCTAGGCTCCATAGCAAAACCCTGTCTCCGCAGCAAAAGTTACTGAAATATGTGTGCAATATAGAATTCCAGAAGCCCTGGCTCTGACAATGCAGGAGAAAGTGTTAAGACCATTCTGTAATGGGACCTGCATTCATGAGCAAGGCTAAGTGTCCCTAACAGGTTAGTGAAAATTAAGACGTGGGGAGTTTTCCATCTAAATTATTGGGCTTGATGAATTCTTTGGACCCCAAAAGAGTATCTTTTCTCATTCTTCACCAGTGGAGCTAATGTCTCCCTCAGCAGGTTTCTGGGGGGTGTTAGTGACATACTACAAAGCTGGCACAGAGTAGACACTTAATGTAGCTTTGTCTCCTTTCATCTGTGATTTTAAACACTCTGAGTTCACACTTACAGAAAAAGTAAAGAAAATGGTCTGAAATTCCAGATAAAATAATTGCCAGAATTGAGCACATTCTAAAGGAGGAAAATCCTCCTCTGGGTAGGCATCCTCCATCGGTGAGCATTCTCCCATAGTGAGCATCCTCCCATAGTGAGCATCCTCTCACGGCGAGCATCCTCCCATAGTGAACATTCTCCCATAGTGAGCATCCTCCCATAGTGAGCATCCTCCCATTGTGAACATCCTCTCACAGTGAACATCCTCCCATAGTGAATATTTTCACTGTCTGCTAAGTGTCTAGAAAGTGGCACAAAGCAGGTCATTGCAGAGCTCTGTATTTTTCTATTGGACCATACCATGATCTCATAAAGCAACACTCCAGTCAGTGCCACATAGGACATCAAAGCTTCAGTTGAGGCCCTATGATAATCTACAGAAACAGAGTTGCACACGCCCAAGTGAAGTTATAGATACCTATGCAAAACCAGCTACCCTGCAGTGTTCCTCACAGCTTTTCAAAATCTATTATGCCAATGAGCACTTCTGTTTACCTCCATGGTAACTCAGACTACTCTAAGAGCCAAACAAATTGACTGACTTGGTCAAGGTCCCAAAGGGTATGCATTTAAGGGATGGAAGGAACTTTTATCGAATGCCGACTACATGCCATGTACTTTACACACACGTTTCATAGTCTCCTTGTTGTTGAAGATGTACCTCACCCTCAGGCAATCAGAGGGTGAACATTTCTCAGCATTATAATGACAAATTGGGCACATGCTGTGTCTCAGGGAGAAGCACCTACTATGTGCCTAGGCTTTTGCATTGTATTTAGGCCACATAAGCCCAGGAGGTGTGTCCTATCGCTCTTGCTTTTCATAGGTGAGGAAGTTGAGATGCGGAAAGCATAGGAAATATGTTCCAGGTCAAGGAAGGCCAGACATGACTAAAAGAAAGCTTATTTGAATCCAAAACTCAAGTTCTTTTTACTACATGACATTGGCCTTGGACCCTAGATCAGGCTCTGTGTTAGAGAAGTTCTACTAGAAGCTTGGCAGTGTCCTTAAGGGTGAAGAGGGGAGGCTGGGAAAGGTTAGGGCATCTGAGGGTCCCCAGCTACTAAGTGGCCAATCTGTAATTTGAGTGTAGACCCTCATCTCTGTGTGTCTCAGTAAGTCTTCACTGGAGGAGGGGAGGCCTGGGGGATTTTTCGAGTAAGAACTGAGGACTTTGAAAACTCTACCTGGAGAGTGGTCCTTCCCCACCTCCCATCCCCAAATCCATAACTGTCATCCAGATTCCTTGTCATTGTAGGTGCCCAGAGTCCTGAACAGAGAAATATGACTGAGACGTACTGTCCACATAGTGGATTTAACTGTACCCAAAGTCAGTTACAGAAGGCTTGACTACTCTGTGTCCCTTGTTAAAGTTTAGAAGAATTTCTTGAAAATTTGGAAGGTTGGGAGGCCTTCTGGGTGGTAAAATGTTTTAGATCTACACCATCCAAAGTAATAGCAGGTGACTATTGAGCACTGGGGATGGGAACGGTACAACTAAAGAACTAAAGTTTCCATTTCATTTGATTCCAACTAATTTAATTTAAAACAGAGACAGCCACCGGTAGCTAGTGGCTAGCATCTGGGACAGCTCAGCACTAAGGCCCATCTGGCATTTCCTTCTTAGAAGGGGAGATGCTAAATAGGACAAACAGAATGGGAAGTAGAAATTTAATAATATCAACTCCATGCGATGTGACAAGAATTTGAGACTGGGAGTAGGCCCAGCCTTGGACCGCTCTCATCTTCAAAAATTTTATAATATCATCTCCATGCGATGTGACAAGAATTTGAGACTGGGAGTAGGCCCAGCCTTTTGGACCGCTCTCATCTTCCTATTGCCTGGACCTCACTGCTCAGTCCTCACACACAAACAGCATGATATCATGACTCCAAAAGTTCAAGGGCAGCCCTGGGAAAACACTGCTAAGAGTTACTGCTAAGAAATTCTCTTGAACAGCCCTTTAACCTCCACTGTCTCGTTTAATCGCTGAAGACTAGCATCACTAGTCTCGATTTTCAGGTGAGAACACAGGCTTAGAAATATGAAAATGAGTGACTTTACTTCATTGAGTCAGCCATGCAAAAGACTTCCAGTATCCACGCCCTAACTGATGCTCTGCCAGCAGCAGGTAGAGGCTAAGCTGTCCCTCAGAACCATGTGGCCTGAGCACTGTCAGCTGCACACTGGCTACATTCTCGGTTAACAAAAAGTGTCACTATTGAAGTATTTAGGGGACAGTTAGCTTGGGATTTAATGGGGGTATCTCAGGTGAGGGTCACACTGGTTTCAAACCTTATCTTCTGAGACAAGCAGGGTCAACCTCTAATGATCCTAAAGCACTATGTGATTGTGAGAGAGGACAAGAGGAAGTCACCATGGGATGAGGAATGAGAGGAAGAAGAATGAGAACTCTCCCAGTCCTTGAATATGCTTGGCATCCACTAAAATCTCTATCAATGTGAAATTTGAAACCAGAGGGAACACTGAAAATAATTCCATCAACTAGGAATCAGAGATAGAGATATGACCATCTGCACAAGCCAGGAACTGTGTCCACCGTAGGGTATATTGTTTCTGATGGAAAGAAACTGGACAGTTGGTTCAGATAAAATTTTGTTGAAATCTCACAAGCACAGGCCCTCTTCTGGCTCACTCACAAATGGATAGAACAGTGTCAGGTGCCTAGTAGATATATACCTACTTTTTGATTGAA